CATGCCGCAGGATGGGAGAAGGGATGGACGCCGAAGGGCAAGGACAAAGGCTTGGATTCTTTTTGGCTTGTGTCATGGCGTGGCTGATATCGAACGAGTTGTGCTGTGGCTGGGACTCTTTCGGTGTTGTGCTTGTATTCAGGAAAAGCCAAAGGATCCGAGCCGGAGAAGTTTGGTCTGGTGACGAAGGAGGGTGTCCAGAACCTGTTCGGAAACTGTTCAAAACTGCTCCACAAGGAGAAGGATGATGAGCCCGTGAGCCGATACCAAAGCCAAGTCCCTCATCCACCCAAGAAGCTGAAGCTGGAAGGACAGTTCTCCTCTTTTGCATTCCCTCTCCTGCCCCTCTTATATTCTTACCTCACTCATATACCCTCCTCTGTCAGGACCACCTGCTGCTACTGGGAGTGAGAAGGATGATGCGAAACCTGATGGTGAGACCTCCTCGCCGTCCGAGAGGCTTGGATGAACAACACCCGCTTCCACAGTCTTGCGAAAAAGTGCCGTGTCTGTGGCTCTCGAAAGGAATATGACTGAATATGACTGATGAAGATTTTATATATTCGGAAAGATACTGTAGCAGACTTGACACATATGTTTCACATTCTGTTTTGTTCCGTGATTTGATCCAAGGGAAAATATTGCAGGAAGCCAAGTTGCCAGGCCATCCCTGCGGTCGGGGCTCTCATCGGCTTCCTTGTGCCTTGGCTCAAGTGAAACAACTACATGACCACACAAGGTCGTTGAGCTCCGAGATTACTAGGCAAGCCCTTCATGTCCGTAGCTTCGTAATAATACACAAAGTGTATGTGTACATATGTCTCCATGTATGCATGCTGCATGTTTATAAGGTTACATATACATATGTACGTGTGTGTGTGTATATCTGCAGTTTCAACATAGTATACTTCTCAAACTCAGAGAAATCACATCACATATGTGCATGGAGGTCAGATGGTGGGGGCTCGAATGGACGAAGGACTCTTCGTGTAAAGAGCCTGACGGATGCCCAGCGTGACGAAATCCAGGCCATGTCGGATCCAAAGGACATGGCCCCGGCTGAAAGGAAAAGACAATTCGCGGCGCTGGACCGGTATATCAATGCCAACGCCGAGGGCATGCCGCCGGGCCTTGTGGAAAAGTACAAAGACTCCTTCGGCAGCGGAACAAAGAAGTTTGAGTTGTTGACCTTGGGCAATAATTGGCATGTGCTTTTTGCAGCCACCTTTAGGATTTGTAGCTACAACATGATGCAATCACACGTGTACTGCCATCCAGGAAGGCGTGGCTTCTTGACCCGACGATGAAGAACGTCGAAATCGAGAGCTACTATGTCCAGAAGCATGAGAAGTCCAGCAAAGGTGAGTACGAGGAACTCAGTCTGATGGACTGGGAGGAGATCTACAAGACGCCGGAGCAGCGAGAATGGCTTGCCAAGATCATTGCCGGTGTCTTGCTCTATCTAGGCCATAAATTGTGCTAGTGATACACATGATGTGTTTTCCTTCGGAATCACACTCCCGTAAATCACACTAACACACTCATGCCTTAGATCTAAGGCCAGCAGGGCAAGCCCCACCCGCAGGACAAGGACAATCCGAGAGCTCGCTTGTACAAAATTTTCCGCAGGAACAAAGATGTGGACAAGGTGCAAAGTGAGGTTGGCACGAAGACCAGTGCCAAAGGAGCTGTGAGTGAAGCTGCGGCGCCGCTGGTGTCTGAGATCCTGGAGGGTGCCCAGGCGGACTTTGCGGGTGCCCAGGAAGCTCCCAAAGGGAAAGGCAAGGGCAAGGGCAAGGACAAAGACAAAGAAGAAAAGAAGGCTCGCTACGTAGATGATTTATACTGCTGTCGAATATCATGCATGCAGATGGATTGTGCATCCTTGAAATCAACGGAGTCCTGACTCAGGTCGACCCGGAAGCGCAGGCAAGAAAAGAGCTGGAGAAAGACATCAATGCTATCTCCAAGCTGGCGGGAGAAGCCAGGAATATGGGACTTTTGCTAACAGAGTGGCAAGTGCCGCATGTGGACTCGGTGCAAAAGGGCTTGCAGAAGCACGTTATCATCTTGAAGAAGATTGAAGAGGAGATTGAAAGTATGATTTTCAACAAAACGCTGGGCTCTTACACATGGCTCTATGCTATGTATCTGTGTTTTTGCATGCATACATACATACGTGTATGCATCTGTGTGAGTGTGTGTGCTGAAAGATTATGTAACACGTGCTACCTAAGTCCCGATGTAGCTCCCTCAAGCTGTAAGCCCTCAGCCTGATGTGTGCAGATCCTAAGGCCCCTGGCTGAGCTTGGTGAGTACATTGCTTCGAAAGCACCGCATTGCAAGGACTGCAAATAAGCACCTCGATCAAAACAGACCCTAATCGATGCATCTTGCCAGGAAGCCTACAAGGACATTTGCCACGCCCAGGGGTCAATCGATGCAGAGAAGCGCCGCTGGAGCCTTGGGTTGTGAAATCGTTGTCAATCTATTTCGTTTGTACCGAAGCGTCCTGACCAGGTGTTAATCAAA